TCATTCATGTCTGTATTCACAGCAGCCAGCACAGGACCTTTCATGTGCTTCCTGTGTGAAAAATGAACCGAACCAGATACTGCATGTGAAAGTTAATAATACGTGTTAAAGATGCAGCCAAATGATTTCTGGAAAGTTTCCAGCGAGAAGTGAATTTTGAGTTCCTTCTTGGCAGACCAGAAATTGGTCAAACGAAGAAGGAACAGTATTTCTGGATAAGGGAAACAGAGCGCTCAAAGGTTCATCTCAGTTTTCTAGCCTCTGAGAACGGATCCACTGACGGTGAAATTCCATCTAAGTATGCCACAAAGCAGAAACACAGGCAGCGTGAATGGCCCTGGGTAAAATTAGGGTCAAACTTGGCTACTTTTATTCCAATGAAAAATTAATTTCTTTTGCCTCTGTGGTAGTTTCATAATTGCATGTCAACTTGATAAACTAATGAAGTGGGGGAAGTCTAACCTGTCAATCAGGTCACTTCCTTTCTTCCTCCCTGGAGGCTGGACATACTCTCTGCTTCACCTTCCTGTTGACAAACCATATGGAGCCAAACTGATGGCAGCTGAAGCCCTGGAGATGCATTTACCACCATTGGATCCATGGGACTTTCCACCCACCAGCCTGTGATCTTCCTGCATTTGGCATTATCGCATGTACTGCATGAGTCAAAGAGGAATTTATGAACTAATATCGGACATATGGGCTAATATAGAACTTATTATGGACTTGATCTTAATGTACGATTTTATCCTTGTGGTAGTTACATAATCGGGTGTCAATTTGAGGGTGCAGGGGTGGACTCTGTCAATCAGGTCATAGCCAATTAGTCCTCTGTCTGGGCATGGTCTTCTCCTGCTGATTCTGGGAGCTCCAGTATTCCTCCTTGGAGGTGGGAGACACACTCTCTCTCTGCTCACTCCCTAAGAGACTCTCTACTGATAAGACACATGAAGCTATGCTGATAGCAGTGAGAGCCCTGGACCTGGGGAAGCCACGTTGCGACCCCTGCCAGCACTGAGATGCTTACAATGCCACTGGATCCACAAAATTTCCTACCCACTGGCCTGTGATCTTCCTACATTTGGTGTCATTGCATGTGTCCCAGGAGTCTGGAGGGGACTTTATAGATTGGTATCGGACATTTGGACTAATATTGGACTTACGGACTTGATCTGGCCTGGGCTGGGATGTTTTCTCAATATTCAATTTCTCTTGTATATGAAGTTCTTTCCTATACACATATGAGTATCCATGAATTTGTTTCTTTAGTCTACCCAGGCTAACATACTCCTTGATATAAAGCTCTCTCTTACACAGATGAGTGTCTCTGGATTTGTTTCTCTAGTCTATCTGGCCTAACACAGACTCTAAGCAAAGGGCCTACTTAAAAGTTCTGAGGAACCTTTGTGGTGTAGTGGGTTCTGCATTGCTCTACTACTCACAAGGTCAGAAGTTCAAAACTACCAAGTGAAGTGTGAGACTTTGTACTCCCATGAAGATTTATAGACTCAGAAACCCACAGGGGCAGTTCTACTCTCTCTTGTAGAGTTGCTATGAGTCAAAATTGACTTAATGGCAGTGAGTGTATGTCCCAAGAATGAAGATAGTGTAGAACTAAGCCTGAGATACCTACATTAGTAACAATGAATTTCCAAGGCACCTCTTAGAAAGATAGAAAATGCACACCATATGCTTATTCAAACAAGTTAAACTCAACTTTATACCCAACCAAACCAAACCAAACAAAAAGCCCACTTCATCTAGTTTATGTTTTACTTAACATGAAAATATCTCCTAGGCTCCCAAAAGGCCAAACCTGGGATTAGGTAAAAGAGCCCTGCACATAACAAGGCCCCCAGGTACCTGCTGTCTGCATCCTTTCCACCCCCAAGGTGAGGGTCGGGGTGTCTTCAGGGAATAACACCCAGGAGCCTCATTGATTGCCCCTTAGAGGAAGTTTTCTCTGACTTTAAAGACTTCATCCAAACGGGGTGTTAATGAAGCCATTGTCTCCCAAGCCTGACCACATTCTCAGTCATGTATGAATATCAACTACCCACTCAGCTTCAGCCCACGCCATAGATTCTCTTGGGAACCTTGCTCTACCCTGCACTGCCGTATTGTAGCCAAGGGGACACAGCATTTCTGTCTTGACTCTTCAGGAGCCTCCAACCCAGCTTTCCTGTTGTGCTGCAGTTCTAGCAGAAACATGATCCGAATTCTACCTTGCAAGTCTGGCTAGAGCAGAGGACGTGCACTGGTACAGATAGGAACTGGAAACACAGGGAATCCAGGGCGGATGATCCCTTCAGGACCAGTTGTGTGAGTGGCGATACTGGGAGGGTAGAGGGAGAGTGGGTTGGAAAGAGGGAACCGATGACAAGGATCTATATGTGACCTCCTCTCTGGGGGATGGACGACAGAAAAGTGGGTGAAGGGAGATTTCAGACAGGGCAAGATATGACAAAATAATAATTTATAAATTTTCAAGGGCTCATGAGGGAGGGGGGAGGGGGAAAGGAGGGGGGGAAATGAGGACCTGATGCCGGGGGCTTAGGTGGAGAGCAAATGTTTTGAAAATGATGAGGGCAATGAATGTACAAATGTGCTTTGCAAAATTGATTTATGTATGGATTGTGATAAGAGTTGTATGAGCCCCTAATAAAACGATTAAAAAAAGGAAACTAATTAAAAAAAAAAACAGTAGAAAGCAAACAAATTGCTACTCTCATGAAACTTTTAGTTAAGACAATACAATATTTTTAAATGCATGGAATTGCCATTATAATAAAATATAAAATAATTTTTTTAAAAGTAAACAAAATTAGCTTATTGGTTACAATATAACAGCTCTGATCACAGCTGGGTGGGATTACTCAGGATGATGTGTTTGTTTGCTCATCCTTCCCTTGATTTTCTCCTTCTTCTTTGTTTTATCCCTTGATTTTCTTTGATGAATTTTAGGCTCCATGAGCAGAGAATTCTAAACATAGCATCCTTTCTGTACCTTAAGATAGGTTTCAGTCAGATCAGATGGCAATCCAGCTCAGTATGTTTCAATAGAAAGAATATTGGTATTTGAACAAGACAATTCTTGGGTGGGACCTGCACTTGGATTGAAAGACATTTAGTGCCATTAATGACCAGTATCATCTGCATTTGTCATGTTAACAGTCACATGACTGGCACACATTTTCTCCCCATTGCTGGACCAATGCCTAGTTTATGTCCAAGGGTTTCATGGAAGATAAATGCTCTTTTTTAGCCATATATTTTAATGCCAAATGACTTTTCCTTTTGGGAAATATTTTCCATTTCAACTTTCACTTCTTTTAACATTCTTAGTGTAAGTGATTAATAGCTGGTCACCAACTTCCTTTAAATAAATTTTTATAAATGTAAAGAAGGTCTCTATATTTTCCAGCCTTCATCAAAGAATGATTTAATTTATACAAAAGTCTCTTTCTGAATATACATAAGCAAATAGTAATTTGATTTAAACACACTACAGGTGTTTACCATCTAAGATGAAAAAATATTAAATATTACATAAATTGGAGTGATCCACATCCTTCATGATTTGCTTCAGAATAACACTGGCTGATGTATTCGGGGTCTGCTTTTGCTGTAGGTGAGGGACACTTGAATTTGATGCATCTTCCCTGGTGCGATTACTTACCCCGGCTGAGTAGGTGTATACCTCCTCCCAAAGTTGCACTGGCTATAATTTACCTTCTCGTTTAGCAAAGCTAAAGATGTGGCATAGTTTATACCATGCGTGAATCACTCCTGTGAACTGTCGGCACACTTCCATCATTCAGACAGCGACAGGGAGAGGATGGGCATTGGTTAAGATTTGCCTTTTCCTTCTTACAAGCGAGATGAACCTTTCTGAGTCTGCTCTCTTCCGACTTCCTAAAAGATGTGCAAGGGCATGATTCAGAGCCTTGAAAAAAAAGCTGCCTCCAGTAAACCCCTAAGCAAAATGTTTTCAGGCATCTAATTCATGCATAATGCTGAGCTAGTGAGATATTCAGAGATGTAAAATGTATTGTAAAATCACTGAGTGATTGTGTGAAGGAATATAGCACTAATGGGGACAGGAAATAAATATGAGAAGATCAGCAGACAGAGAGCACTTTTATGAAAAAACTGTGTGTTAGTCTGGTTAGACCAGAGAAACAAATCCACAGCAAGTCACATGTATATAAGAGAGAGTTTTATATGAAGGGTAAGTGTACATTAAGAAAGCATCCCAACCCAGTGCTGTCCAAGCACATAAGTCTGACATTAGCCCATATGTCAGACACAGATCTACAAAGTCCTCCTCAATCTCAAAAAATACACGCAATGACGTCGACTACAGGAAGAAAGCTGAAGCAGTGAGCGTGTAAGCATCTCAGTGCTGGCAGGGGTCTCCACACGGCTGCTCCAGCACCCAGGGCTGCATCAGCGTAGGTCCATGTGGCTTCTCCTCAGCGATGTCTTGCAGGAAGTGAGCCTTGGCAGCCGAGGCAAAGAACTAGCTAAGGCAGCCACAAGCTGGTCTACCATCAGAAAGCAAGAGACCAGAGAACAAGAAAGGCGAGGCTCACCGAGCCATTTATCCCTCCATCCTTCAATAAATCCCACATGTGTTTATTGGCCAGGTTGGCACAATAAACCTTAACTAGCACAAACTGAAAACTTGAGTTGGCCGTTAAAGAATGGGACAGACTTAAATAAGAGGAAAGAATAAAGGGCATTCCCCATGGAAGAAGAGTATGAAAACAAAAGGAATGGATGTGGTTATTCAGTGAACAAGCCTGACCCTAGGGTGGATAGGAAATTGTAATCGATGGTCAGGGGGTAACATTTTGTATGGATTTAAGTAAACCCAGGGATTGACTTTAATGTACAGAGAAGGGTTTCCCCAAGGTTATAGATAAGAATTAAATAAATGTGATTATAGTTACTAAAACCATGTAACTTTTATGTGTCTACATTGCAGACTTGGTGACCACTCAATGAAGAAAGGCAACCACACTCTCATCTTTGAATTTCTATTCCAAGGGTTTTCCAGCTTTCATGAGCAGCACCTCACCCTCTTTGTGGTATTTCTTGCACTGTACATCTTAACCCTGGCAGGCAATGTCATCATTGTGACCATTATTCGGATTGATCGCCATCTTCACACACCCATGTATTTCTTCCTGTGCACACTATCCACTTCGGAGACTGTATACACACTCGTCATTGTCCCAAGGATGCTCTCCAGCCTTGTGGGTATGAGCCAGCCTATCTCATTGGCAGGTTGTGCCACGCAGATGTTCTTTTTTGTAACCTTTGGCATCACTAACTGCTTCCTGCTGACAGCAATGGGATATGATCGCTATGTAGCCATCTGCAATCCCCTGAGGTACACCATTATCATGAATAAGAAGGCGTGTGCCCAGTTGGTATGGGGGGCATGCAGCATTGGCCTGGTTGTAGCAATGACCCAGGTGACATCTGTATTCAGACTACCTTTCTGTGGTACGAAGGTGGCCCATTTCTTCTGTGACATCCGACCTGTGATGAAGCTCTCCTGCATCAACACAAACATCAATGAGATTCTGACTGTGATCATCAGTGTTCTGGTGCTTGTTGCTCCCATGGGTCTAGTGTTCATCTCTTACGTGCTCATTATCTCTACAATCCTCAAGATTGCCTCTGCTGAGGGCCGGAAGAAAGCTTTTGCCACCTGTGCCTCCCACCTCACTGTGGTCATTGTCCACTATGGCTGTGCCTCCATTGCCTACCTGAAGCCCAAGTCAGAGAACACCAGAGACCAGGATCAGCTGATCTCAGTGACCTACACTGTCATAACCCCCCTACTGAACCCTGTAGTGTACACCCTGAGGAACAGGGAGGTCAAGGATGCTCTGTACAGGGCTATGGGAAGAAAACACTCCTGAAAAATTAGCAAGCATTCTCCTGAGGCTGTTTGCATCCACTCTACACAGAACTATGAGAATTGGACCTAAATATCTTTGAGAAGATAAGATTCTTAAAGACCCACTTTAAGTAGAAGGTGAAGAGAAGAACAGCAAGATCATCCAATTAGGGATCTGAAAATTCTAAATAAGAGCCCCAGTTGAACCCGGACTTTGTGAATAAATAAATGAAGATATCAGGTAGTAGCATGGGACAAAGATTTTCCACTTTCCTTTGAGTTTCCTTGTGGGTTTCCACCTAATTAAAGCAACAGTAATCTCCTTCGAGAAAGCAGAATCTAGAACACGTTTTATTACACCCCCCCACCCACTCACACACACACCCTAACACACATTCCTTCTTTCCTTCAAGGAGGCTTCAAAAGTCCATGGATATTTTTCATTACCTTTTAATATCATTGTCCCAAAGGCTTTTTAAAGCCCCCTCATATGTAGGATCATAAAGGTTTCTCTATCATGGGTTTCTATGGAACATGCTTATAGATTCCATATCGGTATAAGTCACGCTGCAAACAGGAAGGGTGTCCTCAAGAAGGATAGCCCGGGGAGTAGATTCCTCATGGAATCTGCAACGTCAATTCATCACAGGTTCTACGAACACTGCAGGTGAATGGCAAATAAAACCAAAGACGGTTTTATTAGAGATCCTCTCAATGCGAGATCACATCAGCTATAAAGTGACAGCCATATGAGGTCATATTCCTACATCTTTCCTGGAAATTATGTATTGCACAGCCACAATGAACAAGGTTGTGTGCTAGATCCCTGGGGAACAAACCCGACAAGCCCTTAATACCTGACTCCTCAAAGCTCAGCCTCTAGGGACAAAGACAATCATTGAAAAGTACAATTTTTATGACTTTATAGTAAGAGGTATATACAAAAATTTAAATTCTGACTAAGGAGAAAAGACACAGACCCTGTTGGAGATGCCAAATATATCGACAAGTTGTGGGAAAAGAATTCCAAAGAAAATGATCAATATATTCAAAGATACAGAAGCAAAAGGAATGTTGAGAATATGTAAAATGAGTCACTGTGCTGAGTGCAGACTGTGAGGGGGAAATGGGTTATATGACCAGAAGGACAGGCTATGGTCATATTGTAAAGGCCTTGACTGCTAAACTAAGAGACTTGGGTTTTAATTTTTAGGCAATGGAAACTACTCAAGAAAACCAGGGTTTGGTTTATGTGATATCTATTTGGTTTATGTGAATTCTTGGCATCCTTACTTAACTCCATTGAGACATAAAGAGGCTGTCTGGATCTGTAAAATGCAAGCCAAGAAAACCAAAGGGAACAGGTAATATGATTAGGGTGTTTGGAGAGAGTACACAGAAATAATTTATACTATGATGAAGCTGCATCAGATGATCAGAAAGAGCTTGGAGCAGAGAAAGACAAAGAAGCATTATGTATATTGGGTTGGGGGGCGGTTGAAGTTCAGGTGAGCACCCAAGGAATGATCAGAGCTACAGAACCAAAGACTTACTGGCAAGTAAGTGAATATGCTGTACTCCACCTTCCACTGTAATCAAGGGAGGTACTTACTAATCAGAGAGCCTTCAAAGACAATACAGAAATTCAAAATATACATGTATTTGCACTCCAGAGCAGATCAGAGCTATAGGACGTATTTCAGGATTGATGGAGGAAACAGTAAAAATCAAACTACAGCTTATGTTCTCTGAAGGACACAATAAAGTGGTTAGAGTAATTAAGGCTAAACCATTAATTGGCAAAAAAAAATGTAAAAGGACAATTAAAAAGGCAATGGGTTTGACAGTCATTCAATCAACATTCTTGAAATCCTTAATCATATATTTGGGGACTTTAAGAATTTCATGGGAAAAATCTATTACCTTTCAATTCCTTTTTCCCGTGAACATTTTGAAATCCCCTAAATACTTTACTAGACATAGAAAACTCTTAAGCTTCCCCTGAATGAACTTCCAATCATGCAGGGGGAAAGGCACCATAGGCTCTTAGGAAAGAGAAAGTCACAAGTATGCTTATTATTTGATAACAAAGAAACATGCCTGGGGTTATTGATAAACTAAATCTCATTGAGCCAAGAAAGGGTCTTGAAGCCTGGTGTTTCATGAAATGCACAGGAGTTACTGGATAACCCCTGCTGTTTGACTCAAACAGGACTCCAAGTGGTGGCCAGGAACTGGTGAGGGAGTAGACTTGAAGACAGCAGACTTCGGTAAAAGCACAGGCCATCCTACAGCGCCCATGGAAGTGATATCTGGGAGCTAGCTATAGCATCTATCTGCTAGTCTTTAATAAACTCACTGTTTGTCACCCATTGAGAAGAGCCTTTCACTTACTCAGATAAACCCCATCACTGATGGGAGGAGAGCTCTTCTTTGTGAATACTGGGATCCTCTGGAGAAGTTTGATTTGGAGTTCATTTCTACCCGTTATGCAATCAGTAGATTAGGATTCAAGTCTTGAATCTCTCTTCTTAACTCTGTATTTTAGGATCAGTTAACTAAATTCTCTGACTCTCTATTTCAGGGTCTTGTAGATCAACCAGTAACAATCATCCTAGTTTGTGGTTTTGATGTTATTTACATTATTATCTTATACCTCACCACACTCCTTGAGTTCAGAGACTTTCTGTCTGGGTATCTAGCACCAACAGCCCATGGCTCCTGCCCAAGGAATGAGCTCACTCTGGTCACTTAAGTTCTGCCTGTCCTTATTGTAGACTGTCAGTAACATCAGCATGGTTTATAAAGCATGGTTCTTGCCACCCGCCCAGGGTAGTGGCAGAGACAATACCTCACTTATTTTATCAGGCAGGACACTGAGGCTTAGAGGAGATAAGGCTGCCAAAATCAGACAGCTAGTGAGTATTAGAACCCTGATTAACCTTAGGTAATTGCCCTAAACCTACCCCCCTTTTTACGGTTTCTCCCCTTTTCATTTATTCGATGGCAATTGAGTTTTTGCTTCTATGTATATCCATCCTGCCAAGCAATCCTTCCGGATTTAATTAACTGCTGTTTTCCTCAGAATTGCCAGCAAGAAATGCTCTTAGGTGCTGTATTTTTCCAGGATTCTGGTTGAGCAAAAGGGTAATGTGTTGTTGCCATAATATAAGGGTTCCTTTTCCACTCCCCTCCCCTTGCCTTCCAGTGTTCCTACCTCTTCAGTTCTAGAGACTTTTTTATTGTGATAGAGGGGAAGGAGAATCATCCATACAGAAATTTTGGATGGGAGAATTGCTAAATTGGTTATTCTGAGTGATCAATGACCTCCCAAAATGATTTTACCAATGATTTTACCTCAGCAAGATGAGGTTTTCTCATCTCATAAGGATTTACAAGCTCAGAAACCCACAGAGCTAGTTCCTGCTTTGCACTATAGGGTCTTTGTGAGTTGTAATTAACTCAATGGCAGTGAGTTGCTCAAGTTGAGAATTAGCAGTAACGAGGCTACCTAGCATTGCCTCGCTGCAATGCTCAGACAAAACTCGCCAAAATTTCTTTGCTAAATTCAATGCTATGCAATGATACCCTTTGACTTCAACCACCCCAAGAACATTTATCTAGTCTTAAGATTAAAAAACAAAATGCTCTCCAAGTGTGAATGCAATTCTATTTTATACCTTTTCTTCCACTTAAAACTCAAACAATTTCACTTTCCCCCCCTGGACTGTTCTTAAAATCAAATCATCATTTAGCTTAACTAGGGGAAAGGGCCTGCCTTGAGTATGTGCTCTTTAAAAGCTATCAATAAGGGCTCAGGCAGGGGACAATTGTGAGGACAGCACAGGACTGGGCAGCTTTTCCTTCTGTTATGCCTGGGCTTGCTGGGATCGAGAACCATCTCAATGGCACCTAATCACAGGGCAAAAAGAAGCTGTCTGCTCCTGTACACGTTTGCAGTCTCAGAAATACCAATAGGGTTATATTGTCCTACAAGGTTGCCGTGATTTGGGATTGTCTCAATAGCAGGGGGTTTATATGGGATAAAAATGACAAAAAACAACTCAAAAATTTTGATAAGAAAAACCTTTAGGGCAGAGAATTTATGTTAATGGATAGAAATAATTCTAAAAAGGGAACTAAATGGTAGCACAACTCAAAAATGTAATGCACGTCAATGAATTATACATATAGAAACCATTGAATTGGTGTGTGGTTTGCTATGTATATTCTCAACAACAAAATAAATAAATAATTTAAAACCAGACTTTTCACTTTTTACTGTAATCTTTTGACATTCGTACATTAGCTAAAATATTTGGAAGAGTGGTGATTGATGTCCAGCACTAAAGAGAGGAGGTGGGAGTGTGACAAGGGGAAAATCTTTTTTTAAAAAATTTTTTAATAATCATTTTATTGGAGGCTCATACAACTCTTATCACAATCCATACATACATCCATTGTATGTCAAGCACTTTTGTACACTTGTTGCCCTCTTCATTTTCAAAAATATTTGCTTTCTACTTGAGACCTTGGTATCAGCTCCTCTTTTTTTCCCCTTGCTCCCCTCTCCCTCATGTACCCTTGATTATTTATAAATTATTATTTTGTCATATCTTACACTGTCTGATGTCTCCCTTCACCCACTTTTCTGTTGTCCGTCACTCAGGGAGGAGGTTATATGTAGACCCTATAATTGGCTCCCCCTCTCTACCCCACCTTTCCTCCCTGCCTCCTGGTATACCCACTCTCACCACTGGTCCTGAAGGGATCATCTGTCCTAGATTCCCTGTGTGTCTGGTTCCTATCTGTACCAGTGTACATCCTCTGATCTAGCTGGATTTGTAAGGTAGAATTGGGATCATGATAGTGGTGAGGGGGAAGAAGCCCTTAAGAACTAGAGGAAGGTTGTATGTTTCATTGTTGCTACACTGCACCTTGACTGGTTCGTCTCCTCCCTGAGACCTTTCTATAACAGTATGTCCAGTAGCCTACAGATGGGCTTTGGGTCTCCACTCTGCA